AGCAACCCAGAGACGTACGGCACGAAAAAAAGTCCTGGGAGGCCGAAGAAGCTGACGCCTACGGCCGAGCGTCGACTGCTTCGTGAGGCATCTAAGACTGGAGTAAGCGCTAGAGCTCTAAAAGATTCGTTGCAGCTACCTATATCTGTTCGTAGGGTTCAGAAAGTGCTGCACGACTCAGAGAATATGGTGCATGAGAAGCGGATTGCATGTCCAGTGCTCAAACCCGGGTGAAAGTAAGGAGGGCCATTCCGCGGAGGGCCATGGGACAGACTAGACTGTGCGCAGAGACGACACAAAAAAAATCTTTTGTAGCAGCAGTTTTTCATATAATAAAATCGAGTTATTACAAGCCGTGTCCGTCTCTAAGCGGCGTGTCCGTTGCAATATTTCAGTACCGTATCGTCTTAGTAATAGGCGACGTTTGGTCCTAAGCGACAGCCCTCTTTAGCCAATAGGATGATCTAAAAAAACAGAAGGTGAAAATTAACGGTCAGCTAATTTTAAGTATTTAGGAAACCAATTCGTTCCTGCACACTTGAACCAGGATGGCACGGCCAACCATCAAGGGCACGAAAAAGAAGCGCAAACAATACAAGCGAGTTCGTGTTGAGTATGGCCACAAGCAAGAGATTATCACCTACTTAGAAGCAGGCCATACGCCTAGTGAAGCTTTGGACTACTTCTACGGTACTTTGATCGGCAAGGAGCGACGATCAAAGCAGCAACTTATAAGTAAATGGCGCGGTAATGATGCGACGATTAAATCGGCTTGCGAAAGCGGGCATTCACGCCACCTCAATCTTCGTAAGCGTGGTACAGCAACAGTGCTATCTAAAGAGGCTGAAGAAGAAATTGTTCTGTGGATCAACTCTCTTAGAAAGGACGGCGCGCCGGTGTCGCGCACGATGATGAAACTTAAGGGTTTGGAGGTGGCAGAGGACTGTGGGCTTACGGAAGATCAGTTTTCGGCGTCCCCATCGTGGATAAAGCTGTTCATGCGCCGCCAGAAGCTTTCTCTACGATCCAAGACGCGCCAAGGGCAAACAACCCCTGAAGACGCAGCACAAGTCTCCAAAGAATTTAAGTCAAAGGTACTGCAAACAATTGTTGAACAAAAATGTGTCCAGGTATTTAATGAAGACCAAACGGGTAAGTTAAAACTTGTATTTTTCTTATTTTTTGTCTTATAATATAATAACGTTTTCGCTTAATGTAGCCGTTATTTTCGAGTACGTTCCTAAGCGAACAATTACAGATAAAGGTACGAAGACGGTTTGGATTCGTTGCGGAAATAAGGACAAACAAAGGGCGACAGCTATGTTACTTGGCGATTCAAGTGGAAACAAATTTGACACTTTTGTTTTGTTTAAAGCCGCACCGTCCAAAACAAAAAGCAAGCAGAAAGAAAATGACACCTTGCGAAACGGGTTTGGTACAGCAGTTTGGCGCGAAATCAAAAAACTTCAGGATAAGTATCCGTGTAGAATTTACGGCAACAACACGGCATGGTGGAAGGAGAAACTTTCGATCAATTTTCTGGAGTATCATTTCGCTTACCGTGAAAATCGTCACGAAAATGTGCTTTTACTATGGGACGACTTTAGCGCACATTGGACCCAGACCGTTCGTGATTTTGCAGCCTCTCTAAATGTTGCTCTGCTCAAGGTGCCCTCTAAGTATACATATGGGTGTCAGCCTGCTGACATCTCGTGGAATAAACCTTTTAAAGGTGAGCTTCGCGCACTGTGGATTGATTCTATGAGACAGCAACTTCGTACATACAACAGCGGTGAACAAGAGCGACTTCAGCGCAAAAAACAAATCGAAGATGAAATTTTGCTTGCTCAAACAAAACTTGATCAAGAAAATGCGAGTCGGAAAGTGGCTACCCTTAGAAAAAAACTCGATGTGGAAAAGTTCTCGCTGGTCGCTCCATCAAGACCTGTGATGACGGAATGGATCACTTCTTGCTGGTCGAAGCTGTCATCTAAGACAATAATAAGTGGTTTTGCGAGGGCAGGCTTCCTTACTGATGTTCGGGAGGTCGACATAGAAGAAGACATCGTCGAGCAACTTGACACTATTGCTATCGAATTAGAGCGCTACATAATTGCAGAGGAAGAAATCACTTCTGACGATGATATAGGAAGCGAATACAGCGGGGCTGAGGACGATATTGATATTGAGGACAAATGATAAATACATTTGCATTTAATATGTTTATCGTGTGCTTACCCATGATCTAAATCGTCACTTTGTTTATCTTAAATCTTGGGATTTGAATTACTAGCTCGTTACAATCTATGTCTGCCCATTGTCGCCAACGACTAAGACGATACGGTATACAAAATCTAATACTAATTTGGCCGTGTCCGTCCCAATATTTAAAACTTCTTGTCCTTACCGGTGGGTAAGAACGTAAGGAAAAGATATCTACATGGAGGACGATCCTTCTAAACTATCATGTCCTCATCACTTTCCAAAACACATTCCAGCACTCAATAAAACACTCTTACGCAATCCAATACAAGCTCTCCAGCAGTTCAGAGGCATCTAAGATGACAGACAACGTGAATTCTCTAGCTGTGACTTTAAGTTTATCTGCTACGATCCCTGCCGAGACCACTTTTTCCGCGTCTTCCAGTGACTCCGTTCAGGCTCAATACAACCTCAGTGAAGGTCGTTCGCGCAGTACAGGATGCGATGACGAGGGATTGTTGTGCTTGGATGCAGTCGACGAATTGGGTCGATCTTAATCATCCAGCAACACCGCCTATGGTAGCCACCAACCACGACCCTGCAGTCACAGTACTTCCTCCACTTTCAAATTCGATCGGTACAAATATACAAGACAGCTCGACCTATCACGAGCACAATATCCCACCCAGATATTGGGGATACGCGAGCTTTAGTTAAATTAACAAGAAGATATTTCCGAAAAAGCGCCCAAACTTTTTTATTCACTTCTCTCTACGAATCAGCCTTACGCTTCTTGAGATGACCACGACTCACATGTGTCCTGTAGGAGCTGTCATTAATAAACATTTTCCCGCACACATTACATGTCCATTGCAGAGCCGTTTTAGGCAGAGCACGACGTGTCAACTCGTTTTTTGAGGCGTCTGGGTTTTTAGAGCAATACCGACGATGTTGTCGAATGAGATTCGATTCTGGTTGCTTAACCCCACAGTACTGGCACAGGAAATGAGGAGGAAGAACATTTGTCACGATATCCGGCTCCCATTTGAGCCACTTGTAGGTAAGGTAGCAATGAATGCGATAATTCGCGGTGCTGTACGGCATTCCGTTGTGAATTAAATCGCCACGGAATATAACACAAAAGCCGACAGGAATCGTAAGAACACGGGAAGCCCCGTCGTCTCTTGTCTCGGTACATCCGTCGTAAACGCGAAGCTTTGTACCTTCGTCAATAGCAAAAAGCATGCTTGCTGGAAACTTCTTCTTTTTTTTTGCTTCATCAATTACTCGAGCTGGATAATCCTGATGACTATCTTGTTCATTCCCCCCTGGGGCTGAATGCATAAACGAAAAAATCGTTGGCATCCACCCCTGATCCAGACAAGATGTGACCGAAGTTAAAGCAATCTTGAGGTCGCTAACTGCACCGGAAGCTCTCTTCACACGCGATTGCTTGCGGTATGCATCGTGGCATTCCCCGCCCACCATCTCAAACACGGGTGTGTACTCTCGAGCCATTGCCTCGGTTTTCAGAGCTGTAAGAGTCTCGTCTGAAAGGCCCAGATAGACGACTATGTAGCCGCAGGCGGGAAGCGCAAGTTTGGGCTTGGGCGCCATCTTGAAAGTGAGACACAGACCCAAATATCTCGCGTCTCTGGGACGGACACGCCTCTGTGGGACGGACACGGCCAAATTAGTATTAGATTTTGTATACTGAAATATTGCAACGGACACGCCGCTTAGAGACGGACACGGCTTGTAATAACTCGATTTTATTATATGAAAAACTGCTGCTACAAAAGTTTTTTTTTGTGTCGTCTCTGCGCACAGTCTAGTCTGTCCCATGGCCCTCCGCGGAATGGCCCTCCTTACTTCTACCCCTCAAACCCGAGCACATTACGAACAGACTGAAGTGGGCCGAACAGCATGTGGAGCATTGCCGCAACTGGAACTCTGTGGTGTTCTCAGATGAGAAAGTTTAATTTAGACGGACCCGATGGATACCAGTACTATTGGAGAGATCTAAGAAAAGAGAAGCAAATTTATTCGAGCCGTCAGTCCGGTGGGGGCAGCGTGTTCGTTTGTGGCGCCTTTAGTGTCAAAGCTGGAGGGTTAGCAGAACGCAGAGCGTCGTTTTGATTTTTTTTTACATTTTTCGCCAAAAGCAAAAAAAATGGTCCTCTTGAGCTTTGCCCGTCGACCTGCATTCTGCATGACCTACTCACCTCGCACCGACGCTGGCGAGTCATCGACGTCCGTCCCCCCTTTGGGCTCTACATATACAAAGTCTCTTCCCTCGTCACTACCAGCAACCGATAGCCCCTCGATCGGCCTGCCAGGCATACGTGCCAATACGCGTACCGGCGTTGCTGCGACATTGTCGATGAGTCCCCGTTCAGAGCGCACATGGCCTCAGCCGAGTCACGATAAGCGATCAAGAAACAGAACGCAAAGAATGGCGACTAGGGACGCAACTTGGGAGACAATGGAGTCGACCAGGGTGCGACGTAGCAAGAGAACGCAAGCGCAAGATGAGCGAGAAAGTAGCTACAGTGACCACCATGACGACGATACTGCGAGTACCCAATCGACGGTAGAAGAGGAGGTGGCGCCCGTTGCCAAGCGCAAGAGAAAACGTGGATACCGCAAGGCCACGCACGCCATCCGAAAGGTACGAACCGCGAAGCCTTGTCTTCATAGATGAGTGTCATCGTTTAATTAACCCATTCATTTGACTTTTATAATAGGAGGAAATTGAACACCTTCGAGCTGAGTTTATATCGGAGCTCCAGGCTCGGATGGCTGAGCTGCAGCGAAAGGCATTTGCCCCGAGTCGTGATGATCGGAATGCTGAGGATAATCAGCTGTACACGAACGTACTGCACAACGCAGTGAAGAAACACCAGGAGACTTTTGTAGAGATCCAGTCGGCCATGACCGGCTACGCAGCTTGTGTACGTGTTGCAATCTTACCCAGATACTTTTTATCTTTTTTCTTATGTTCACGTTTGTACGTACATGTACATATTTTACAGAATATCCAAGCTGGAAGTATTATTCAGCGAACGATCATCTTAGACAAAGACGAGCAGTCCAGACGACACACGTTACGTGCTATGAAAGCTCTAAAGCTACAAGATGCACGTGACTTCCTCAATAGAAGACTCTCCCATTTAAACCCGCTCAAGTCGATGTCAGAAGACTATCGATTTGAGAACGAGAGTGGCGATTACTGGGCTGTCCGCTTCGCCACGTCCCAATTCGAACCTGCGAAAAGCGCTAAGCAAGTGTTCGATCTGGTGGTGTATAGCTTGTGCAACATCGAGATCAGTGTCTCCGAGAAAATCGGCCACCTCACAGTTCGCGAGGACGACGACAACGGAGAGGAAGGGATCACTCAAAACCGTCTGTCATCCATGACTGGCAAAGGGCTGCACATGGAGTCCAACACTGTCGTCTTCTCCGAGTATGTCAGTGCAGGCCCAGAGGATCAAGATGGCCGTGGACTTATCGTCGCTGACTTTGTGGACGAAGACGAGCGTCACCCGTACAGACCATCAGAACGTATTCGTAAGGACGTGAATACTGTCATGGAAGTGCGAGCGTACACTCAGCCACGATCCCAGCAGGATGGAGGGACAGACAAGGAGCAAGAGAAAGTTGTGGTACTTACGCGATGGTCGCACTCTCGTCTCCGTCATCCGAGCTTCCGTGTCCGGAAGGATGGATGGCACGAGCTGCGTGAGAATATGGACCGCTGGAGTCAGAATATGCACGAGACGATCAGAGAGAGCTTGGATCCAAACAATGGCTGCTCACCGACATGGAGACTCTAAAACTTAGCGAAATATATCCCCGACTTGAAAATTTAGCCTCATTTCAGTGGTCGCTTTGCATGGGTTAAATTAATTATCCCAAACGGCTTTTAAAATCCAACTTCTGTTCACCCGTCTCATTTCGCTTTCGCTGTATTCGCCAAATAGTGTCGATGGCGTTGAACGCTTCTCGAGAGGAGATTCGAGACGATCGCTACTATCGCTCGCTGCTGCTTGGGCCCCGCATGTCCTCAGCTACGCCCTCGACGTCCTCTTCAGCCAGTAGTCCGTCACACAGCGTCGAAGATGGGTCCGCGCACACGCTTTTAGCGCTAAAAACGTCCGGATCAAACCCATTTGCCACCCAATTAGACGAGAAAACCCCATCATGGAATTCGACGGAGCCCCTGGAGCTAAAGAAGCGCAAACGCAAATACCGCAAAGCCACCCACACCATTCGGAAGGAGGAAAAAGAGCGGCTTCAAATTGAGCTGGCGACTCTGCAAGCCCGCATGGAAGAGCTCAAACAACAAGCAATGGACTCTTTCGGCAAACCGGGACAGATCGACAAGGACAGAGTCATTACCAGCAAAGTTCTACGCGACGCTGTCCAGCGACAGCAACTTGAATTCGCCACTATCCAAGGAATCATGTCGGAATACGCACTTTCAGTAAGTTTGTTTATTTTTAAAGATTTTATTTTGTTTTTATTAAAATTAACAAATTTCTTAGACGATTCAAGCAGGTAGTCCCTTGCAGAGATTTATTCATTTAAGTCGAGACGAAGGCTCTAGGAGAGATACACTGCTGGCATTGAAGCCGTTGAAGCTGAAGGATGCGGATTATTTCTTAACCCAACGACGACCCAATGTGGATCCGTGCAAACCCATGTGTGAAGACCGTCGCTACGAATTGCCGAACGGAGATTTCTGCTCCACACGCTTCACCACAATCCAATTTCACGGTGTGGAAAGTGTGAAACAAGTCTTTGATACGCTGGTGGAGTACTTTTGTAACATCGAAATTAGTATCTCAGAGAAACTGGGTCATATTACGATCCGCGAAGACGACGACAGTGGCGACAAAGGGGTGACGCAGAATCGATTGGTGTCGACGACCATTAACGGGCTACTAATGGAGTCGAATACAGTGCTTTTCTCGCAGTTTTTCGAGCCCGACAAGGAGCCAGGCCACGAGAGAGGACGAGGATTGATCGTGGCGGACTTTGTGGACGAGGATGAACGACATCCCTATCGCCCGTATGAACGTATTAGACGTAACATCAACGCTATACTGGAGCTGACGTCGTACACTCGTAAGGTTACGCCTATTGGAGTACACGCTATTGAGGGTACTTTTGGTGAAGAAATTGATGCAAGAGAAGAGAGCGTCGTCGTGCTAACCCGATGGGTCTTTTCCCAATTGAATCGACCTTCGTTTGCGATATCGACGGACAATTGGGACGAATTGCGAGATAACATGGATCGATGGGGCGAAACTATGCACCGCTCGATGATTGAAAGTCTCAAGCCGAGAGGTTGAGATCAAGAGTTTGCGTTGACTTACACACCCCTCCCGTCGACGACTACTATAGGGAAGCCACGATGTGCTACCGTTTACCTAAGTATTGCGCTGGCGATAAAGCAGCACGAATACCATGTTGATGAAAAAAATATACAATCTCGCTCCGACTTTTATTAAGCAAGGCCGCATAATTTTTGGCTGAGCCCACAGAGTATCAGCAACATGCAGCTACTAACAAGACGCTACCAGTAAATCACACGAGACATGACAAATGGGTCGCACTTTACAGCACTCAAAGAAACAATGAAGGGCTTGCAGGCCATACAAACTCAAGAACACAGCGCCGATGCTGGTACACAAAGGCAGCGACAGAGAGGAGATGCAGCGATTAGGATGAATAATTTTAGATTGAGCTGCAGTAGAAGATTCAGGTGGGACAGCTTTTTTGCGGATCAGTGTGAGCTAACACGTTGAACAGTGTACAACGTGTTTGCTCACGCTCTCGCTAACGCACATCCTCTCAGCTCCCATTGGGACATGCTGTAGAAGAGTTATAGGAAGTTGCGTAACGAGAGCGCGTCCAAACACTGGGGCCAGTTATTAAAAAGAATTCAGCGATTCGATCCGGTACTTCCACTTTACCATCATTCTGGTTCAGGCAGTCATTTGCCAACATGCCGCCGGCTAAGAAACGTAAGGCCACGAACACGGTGCGACGTGAGGAAGCCGAGGCGCTCAGGAAGCAGATCGTCGTCCTACAACACCAAGTGCAGGAGCTGCAAGCTCAAGCCGAGCAAGCCTCCATGACTCCACGCGACCACTTGCAGCTGCTCACGCGAACTAAAATTGTGCTCCAGGAACTACTTCAGGACCAAAAATTGGTTTTTGCCGGCGCTCAATCCGAACTCATGGATTACCAGGTAATTAAAGCTAAGTTTCTTTTTTGATATTTGTTTTACAATTGTATTATTACTATTGACCGTAGGAGAAGCAAGTTCTGAATCCGCTGTACACGTACATTCACCTACCCAAGTGCTGGGAGAAAAGGAAGCAAATATTGGTGGAGCTCAAAGACGACAAGCTGACTACTACACTCCAGTACATCCTCGCGCGATCACAGAATATGAACTTGGAGAACAGAAACAACTCGGAGCATCGCTTCGAAGACGTCGACGGCAACTTCTGCTGTACTCGGTTTGAGGTGAACCACTTGGTTGGTGTCAAATCGCTGAAGGAGGTTTACGAGGCAGCCAAATTCTTCTTGACAAACTTGGAGATCAGCACGACGGAGGCGCTGGGGAACATCACGGTGAGAGAAGACTACGATACAGTCGGAGATGACGAATCGATTGCCAGCTTTCGATTGATCTCAGCACGTCAGGGTGGGATCGTTACGGAGTCCAACAAGGTGCTGTATGACAAGTACTATGACCACCACAGCCTTCTGGGTGGTCGGCCGTGTGTGGTTATGGCGACAGACACTGTGGATAGAGATGACTTGCACCCATACGACCCCAAATCGAGAGTTCGACTGGATGTGAGCGCGGTCTTAATCTTCATGCTGGAAACGAGGCAGAAGAAAGAGTTTATGAGCAGGGAGGAAGACGTCGGGAGCGGCCAAGACTCTGACGATAAAGACGTGAATGTGGTCATGCAATCTGCAGTCTTCATGAAGGCTCAAACTCCAGAGTTCAACGTCCCCGCAGATGCACTTAGTGCAATCGGAGACGGAACGACGAACTGGATCCGAGTCATGCGCCAATCGATACGCGAGTTTATTGACGCGTTGTAGGGCGTACATGTTAAAACGAGTGAACTACTGCATTTGAGCGTCAATTATATCTCGAATGGTCTGGATCATCACCTTCGGCCACTGGGTGATGCGCTCGCTCATATCGCTCAGAGCGTTCTCCGGAGCTTCGAATTTCGGATTATGAATTTTCATGAACGCGACTCGACGCATAACGACCACTCTTTCCTCTTCCTCTTCGTCTTCGTCTTGACTTTCCTCTTGACTCCAATCGCTGCTATTTCGTTTTGGGCGCTCTTCAGTCAATAATACAGCAGCAGAGACGTCACGGCGGATGAATTCCTGGGAGTTGTACGGGTGCAGGTCGTCCTCATCGACAGCATCTGTCGCTAACATTGCACACGAGGAGCTGTGGAATGGGTTCGGACCTTCGAAATACTGAGCAAACGAGACGGTGTTGACCTCCGATGTCACGAACTCGTGGTTCGATACAAACCGATGGTTCGAGATATACGCGCCATTATCGACGCTGTCATAGTCCTCTCGAACTGTGATATCACCCAGCGTCTCCGAGACGCTGATCTCCAGATTAAACATAAAGAACACGAGTGCGTCGTAGACCTGTCTAAGCGACTTCACCCCACGGAAGTGAGTCACGTCGAACGGTTGCCAGATGAGGTTCCCGCTTGCGTCCTCGTATTGATCACTGGCAAAGTGTTTCTTGGTCAGATCCAAGTTGCGGCTTCGTGCGCTTAAGTACGCAAAGCATTGGCGGAACTTGTCATCCTTCATGTTGACGAGTGTCTCTCGTCTTCCTGCCCATTGTTTGGGCAAATGGATGTGCGTTTTAATGGGGTTATCTGGTTGACTGGAGAGATGGTTGAATATCATAGCGCTAGTGGACGCAATTGCGAGCTCTTGTGCTCGCAGATGTTCTCTCAACTTTTGATTGTTGGCAGCGACAAGTGTGACGCTGGCATCGTCCTTGGCGTCTTGGAGAGCTGCGAGCTGTTTCTGTAGCGTTTGCACTTCCTTCTTCAAAGCGCGGGTTTCGGCTTTACGTACGATGTAGGTCGGGACCCTCTTCTTGGGGCGAGGGTTGTCGTCACGGCTTGGACTTCGTTGGTGACTCGCCATGGGAGTTGACGCAAGACACTCGAGGCCTAACGACACAAATGCCGACTGCAGACTTTTATAGTCGAACAAAAAACCCCAGCAAACGGCATCAACATTGCGTGTCAAAGCCAGGGATTACACCACAATGGTAACTTACCCAAGAAGTTATTACAAAACTTCGTAAGGTATTATATTTTACGACTATTTTTTACTTTCCATATGTACAATCATCACCTTGTTTTACGCGTTTACTGCCCCTCGAATCGACTGCACCTCGACTTCTCCCCAGCTCGCGATGCCTTCCTTCAGCGACCTCATGGCACTTTTCGAGATGTCAAACTCAGGTTTGTGCATCTTCATAAAAGCCGCACGCTGCATCACAACCACGAGCTCTTCATCGTCCAATGCCTCATCTCCATCGGAGACTTTCTCTTCGTCATCACCAGATTCCTTAGCTCCTTCACTCTCCGTCGACATGGACCGCTTGTGTTTCTTGCGTCTCATTTCCGTCAACACAGTCGTGGCACTGATATCTCTCCGTACACGCTCTTTTGGGTTATAAGGATACAAGTCGTCGACGTCGACGCTATCTGTGACCACCACAGCGCACGGCTCTCCTCCCATCTGCACGGACTGATCGAAGAACTCTGTCAGCACCACTTTGTTCACCTCTGATGTGATCCCATGACTATCTGTGGATAGCAACCGATAGTTCCAGAGTGACGTCCCGTCGTCCACCGTATCGTAGTCTTCCCGAACTGTCGTATGCCCTAGAGCTTCTGAGATAGTGATTTCCATATTAAGCATGAAATATTTAATAGCTTCGAACACTTGCTTGATGGACTGGACGCCTGTGAAGTGGAAGAACTCGAACCTCTCGCAGCAGAAATTGCCCTGGGCGTCCTCGTATCGATGGTCCATGAGCTGGGGCTTCATTAGGTCTAGATGCTGACTACGAGCCACTACGTACTGGTAGCCTCTTGTGATCATGTCACTCTTGAGACTCAGCAGCACTTGACGTCGTTCCCACCACTCTCGAGGCAGGTGGATGTGTCTGCACAAGGGACTTCCACTCTGTCGCTCCTAACAAGCAGTTCACGAGACGTTATTTAGTTGGATAAGAGCACAATATAAAGACAAATATATTATGGTAGTACCATTACCTGCATCCCGGCCAACATGGACCGAGCTCCTGCCACAGCTAGCTGCTGACCGTGTATTACATCTCGGAGGGAATTGTTGGCGCCCACAATATCCTGGATCTGGGCCTTCGCACTCCGTGGACGAGCCTGTAGACGTCTAAGCTGCATATCAAGAACTTGCAGCTGCGTCTGGAGCCGCTTCATCTCGTCCTGCCGCACCAGGTATGACGGTCTGCGGCCACCTCGACGCTCATGCCTCTCTGTCATCGTTTCAAACTAGGGTTCGTTACGAATTGTAATCATCTTTCAAAAATGACCCAGTGCAATCGTGGGTGTTTTTAGGATCAAAAGCTCGGCCAGCCCACTATCACAAAGAACAAAACCAAATTCATCAGGACCAAAACCAAATGCACCCAATCCCAATTCAAATGCATAAAGTGCAAACTCAAATGCACAAACCTAAGAAACATGATGACCACATTTTATTCATTAAGGTAGGATGTAAGGCTTGGAAAGATTCCCGCCACCGCGCGCCAAACTGAGCGGTACAGTGCAATGCTACTCACAAGCTTTCCTTGTTCATCTTTAACCCTTTGCTTTAAGCTAAATTAATGGGGTTAAATATAACTTCCGCCTTTTAGAAACTTTTTTCAATAAGATTGTAATTGAACATTTATTTGAAAAAAAGCAAATAAAAAGAGATGGACACGACGCAAAAGACGCTGACCGAGGCGACAAGCGCCACCGTTGGTAGCGTATCTTACAGTAAGGCACCGAAGCCGACACCGAGACGCAAGAGAAAATCCACGGTGACTCGACGTAAGGTGTGTACCAATACAATCTCATTGATGCATGCACTGCCATTGGGGCTCTAATAACATGTGATAAATAGGAGGAAATCGAGGAACTGGAACGGGAAGTGAAGGTGTTGCAAGCTCAAATTGCTGCCTATCAGAAGAATGCGCAGACAGCAGCCAGACGCTCCGAATTAGAGCAGGATCTACTCGAAACGAGCTTCATTCGACAGTCAGTACTACAACAACAAGCGTCGCTAGTAAATGTCCAGTCCGCTCTATCCCGACTGACAGTACGCGCTACAATCAGTGTTTATTTTTGCTATTTGCCAATGCTGAAACGCAGTGTTAAGTAGATGACACAACCAGTTGCCCCTCACGCGTCGAGTATCCGTCTTGGAACGGACCTCGAAGCGCGCTGGAAGACGTTGACGGAGATGAAGTCAATCATACTGCAAGCAGCGCAGTATTACCTTTAAGAAAGAGGGCGTTATGTAGACGATACGAGTGCATTCTCGTACTCTACGCGCTTCGTAGAGCAGAGCGGCTGCTACTGCGTGTCGGAAGTTGACACTTGGAGGAATGAGGGTTGCGGAGAGGCGGAAAGGCGCTTGTACTCGTCATGGTGTTTTGGAAAGCGATTGAGCTGGTGGGTCTTTAAAATGCAAAACTAACTGACACTACATGCAGACGGAGTCCCCTTTGCCCGAGCTGCCTGCCCAAGCCTTCTCATCGCTCACGTTGAAATACCCACGTCGCTCCCATTGATGTCGCTAGAGCTGGAGCCACTCTGTCGCCCGTGTTCATCGCACTGTGACCTGTGTCCACTTGACACAGTGGGCCAACGAGTAGTACGTACCAGATTCTCCCTGATGACACTAGATCTGTTCGTCGATGTCAACGACGTTGACGCTCCAACACGCCCACTCGACGAACGGCGAGACGGTCACGAAAGTACTGGAACTTGGTTGCTCCCACAGCCTTGGTGAAGTGGTCGGCGATCATCTCCGCAGTGGGACAGTACTCGATGCGAATGTGGCCCTCCTTCACCTTCTCACGAAGCCAGTGATACTTCGTGTCGATGTGGCGCGAGCGTTGCGTCACGGCCTTGCTCTCCGCCAGGTGTTGGGCCCCTTGGTTGTCTTCGAACATAGTGATCTGGTCAGCTTCCAGTCCCAAATCCTTCAAGACCAAGTTGATCCCAATACACTCCTGAACACCGCTCCCCATCGCAATGTACTCAGCCTCGATGGAGGACAGCGTCACCATCGACTGCTTCTTCGATCCCCACTCGATCAGGCAGCCGTCGTAGAAGATAGCGTACCCCGTCGCCGACTTAGCATTGCGCTCCACTGCGAATGCAGCGTCGCAGTATACAACGAGTCCTTTTACAGCACTGCTCTTGTATACCAGCCCAAAATCTTGAGTGTTGCGCAGGTACCGAAAGACGTGCTCCACACCGTGCTTGAGGCAGTCGGTCGGAGTCTCGATCTCTTGAGCAAGAATCCGCACCGCAGTAGCCATATCCGGTCTCGTGTTTACCGCCAGATATAGCAGCGCTCCGATGGCAGGACGGGGACGAAAGTTGATCACCTCCTGCGCCTTGAAGAGTTGATCACGCAAACGTCCCTCCATCGGAGTGCGTGCTGGCATCGTTTTATCCATGTTGAACCGCTCGAGGTTCGACTTCGCATACTTCTGCTGCCCGATAGTCACTTCGTCACCACTTGGTGACCACTGCAGCTCCAATCCAAGGAAGTAGCTGGCATCCTCGAAGTCGTTCACGTCGTATGTCGTTTCCATAGCAGCCTTGAACGAGGCCAGGTCCTCATCGTGCGTTGCGAACACCAACATGTCGTCAACGTAAACGAGTATTATCATCAGATTGTCGTCATCCGCGCTGCCCTTCGAGAACAGGCAGTAGTCGGCTTCTCCTTGATAGAAGCCTTGACTCTCCAGAAAGAGACGCAGGTTCTCGTACCAGGATCTTGACGCTTGCTTTAGCCCGTAGAGTGCCTTGCGCAGACGCCATACGTGTTCATCAGCATTCTTGTAGCCTTCAGCTGGTTCCAGGTAGATCTCTTCGTCCAAGGCTGAGTTGAGGAACGCGGCCTTCATATCCAGCTGCATGCGCTTCATGCGTCTCGCCACCACAATGACCAGCACAAGACGAAGAGTGCTGTGGCGCACAACCGGGCTGAACGTCTCAGTGTAGTCCACTCCGAACCGCTGGCTGTACCCCTTAGCGACGACACGTGCTTTGTACTTGTCCAAGCTGCCATCCGCAAGAGTTTTCTTTTTGAACACCCATTTTGACTTCACAGCAGTGCGGCCTAGAGGCAATGGTACTTCTTCGAACGTCCCGTTGTCCAGAAGACTCTGGATCTCGTCGTCCATTGCACGCTCTCACTCGCTTCGATCATCAGACGCGTCGACTTCTTCAATGTTGAGCGGCTCAACACCCAGAGCCCAATTCGTAATGTCACTTGGTGTTAGCTTGCTGTAGATGTAGCCGTCTCGAACACTCCTACCATCAACTGCTGCTGGAAAAACACGCTCTTCAACCATCGCGCAGACCTTTACCATGGACAAGTGCGACTCGTCGTAGTCCAGCTTGCGCTGACTTGGCCTTGGGATCCTGCTGGACTTGCGAAAAAGATTCTTTGCCTTCTCTAGACGCGAATCACCTCGAAGCCGGGCTTGCATACGAGCGGCTCCCACTGGTTGAGAACCTCCACTCGTTGATTGATCCGGTGTTTCTAAATTGCTGCTTACTGCGCTCGGTGTCGGCGCCATTGCCACGTCCTCCTCACCGGGTGTCAGGGCCATGGACACATCTTGCTTTTCTTTTTCAACTGTCTCGAGACGTGATAAAAGCGTGCTGTTAACCACATCCAACTGCAAGAGATCCAGCTGCGAGCTTATCGTGATCTCGTCTCCATCTTCGGCAGGAAGGAACTGGTCTTCGTAGAATACAACGGTGCGCGCCGTGATTGCTTCACCAGTCCCATGGTGCGGAATGTACACCAAGTACGCACCACCTGTAGCATACCCGATGAAGATGCCGTTGCGTGTCTTGGAGTCCAGCTTTTTACGGTGCTCCTTCGGCCTTCGGGACCAGTGCTTGCACCTTACATCCAAAGACTCGTAAGTTGCTGATGTCAGGAGCTTTCCCAAACAAGGCCTCCATCGGCGTCTTCCCATCAAGCACCTTCGTTGGACAGCGATTCCGCACATACCCAGCGCACACGACTGCGTCAGCCCAGTACACAGTTGGCAAGTTGGCTCCAAGCATCATGGACCGAGCCATCTCGACAATTACGCGATTGCCACGCTCGACCTTCCCATTCTGCTGTGGACTGTACGGAGTCGAGAACTCCTGTACAATGTCGTTCTTCTCACAATAGGCAGCAAACACACCACCTGTGTACTCTGCAGCGTTGTCTGACTTGACGAACGCCACACGATACGTCGGAGCATACGCCTTCATCTTCGCGATGCAGCCCTTGATAGCATCCAGTTGAGCTTGAGAGCTCTTCACACGAAGTGGATACACCATATCTAGATGAAATGGCTCCACAACAACGTTCGCCATACCAGTAAAACCTTCACGAGACGTCACCTACATTGGCCCCACGTAGTCGACTGCGAGCAGGATCTGGTTTTTCTTGAGGACGCGCTTGTCCTTTACGGCAAATGGCTTCTGTGACAGCTTGCCACTCACGTACGTTGGGCACGCTTGCTTCACAGCACCTTTCCATGGTACTTTCAGCTCTCCCAGTAGCTGTTGAACACTTTGCACATTTAAGTGTCCAAAGCGGCGATGCCACGTCTCCACATGAGGCGCTTTGCTCGTCATCATCGCGACATCTTCGACGGGCTTGCTGGCAGCATCCAGCACGTACAATTGGTTGTGTGCTCTCGATGCTTGTATGGTCACTCCATTCGACGCGCGAATAGCGCAACCAACTCCCTTAAACTCCACCTCCCGCGACGCGATGCCGCCCCAACAGACACGAGGTTGCGGGCTAGTCCCTTCACATAGAGCACAAATCCCCCCGAGCGTTCTGGGCGTGCTTATAGGACATCTTGGAGGACGCATACCTCTTTCCCGTTCTTGTACAGTGGTGCTTGCCCCATGGCGGTTGCCACCAAGCTGTCCACGATCCACTCTCGCTTGCACTCGTCGGTCACGTCGTGGACCGAGAACGCCACACTAGCGGCCTCGCCGCCCTTGCCCTTCGG